TTAGGTTAGGTTAGGTTAGGTTAGGTTAGGTTAGGTTAGGTTAGGTTAGGTTAGGTTAGGTTAGGTTAGGTTTTTTTTTTTTTTTTTTTTTTTTTTTTTTTTTTTTTTTTTTTTTTTTTTTTTTTAAAAATCTAGTTCCCCCTAACATGGAGATCAGGGACTTTTTCCTTCTTTTTATATTTTTTATTTCGTTTCTTTTTCTTTTCTTTATTATTTTTTATTTTGTCTTTGTTGCTTTTTTCTTTTTTACTTTTTCTTTTTTAGGTTCATTCATACAATAGTGTTCTTATCTATTTACACATATCTTACTTGCTAATACATTTTACTTATCCATAAATCTAGATCTACTTATTTTAATTGATTTACAATTTGACAGGACTGTTCACATTATATGTCTACATATAACTTACAGTTCCCTTTATTATACTTTCATTTATTCTTATTTATTACTTTACTAGCTATAGACTTACAGTATTTTAAGAACCTATCTCTTATATATTTATTTCTCATTATGTTACATATATTATCTTTACTTATTTTTATTTCCAATTCAACCTCTATGTCGTTTCTGTCTTTGCCATAAACTGGACATTCCGTAATGACATGAATCACAGTTTCTTCTTTTATCGGATCGCAGGCACATGCCGGGCTCTCCTTACACTTGAATCGGTGCAAGTATTCTGAGAACCCGCCATGTCCCGTCATCACCTGTACCGTGAGCGAGTCTATTTTAATTTTCCTTATAATAGGATAGGCGTTTAAAGCATCTGGGAAGAACACCTTTGTTACGGAGGCGGTTTCGCCTTCCACGTAACGTCGGTTCCACTCATCAAGCGAATTAAGACGGATCTTTCGCTTGACGAATGAAACCGGGCACCTCCCGTAGTCCGGTTTTCGCTTAATTTTTAAGGCGGCTTCCTTAGCTAACTCATCTGCTCTCTCGTTTCCCTCCAGCCCTGCGTGTGCTTTTATCCAAAACAAATTTAAAAATTTTCCTTTTTTGTTTATTTCCGAAATATTTTTTCTAATTTTTGCCGCTAGGGGATGGAGGGAAGCGCTCTGGACGACTGTCTGGAGAGCAGATCTTGAGTCGCTGTAGATATTGCAGCTTGGAGCCAGACTTTTTAGGGCATGATTTGTTGCCTCATATATGGCCAGCAACTCCGCCTGGTAGACAGTGCAGAAGTCTTCCAATTTAAATTTTCGGCTACTAATCTCCGCTGCGTCATTCCAAATGGATAACGCAGCGCCGACTTTCCCCTCAATTTTACTACCATCGGTGTAGATTTTAAGACCTTTGTTGTTATGTTGGTCGACTTGTGCACTGTCCTCCAGGCATACAAACTGCAGCCCAACCTGTTTCGCGGGGTGAGGTATCTTCGCGTATTCAAGCTTCCGTTCCACATCCCGATCTCCTACTATCCGCTGCGAGTAACCTTTCTTTACTTCATAAAGTAAGGCTGCTTCCCTGACCCTGAGGTCTAAAGGAAGCAACCCAGCGAGTAGTAGGGCCGAGTGGAGGGATACGGTTTTGTACGATTTTATAATCTTTTGAACGAACCCGCGTTGTGCCGTGTCGAGCTGCTTTTTAACACTGTGTTTGTATGTGGCCGATGCCCATACACTGGCCGCGTACAGTATGATCGGCTCCGTTACCGCTACGTAGATGGTCCTAATGATCTCCGGGTTCAGGCCCCAACTAATCTTGGCGGCTCTTGTTAACTGACCGTATAGACGCTGTACCTTGCAACACACATTTTTTACATGTGTGTTGAAGGTCAACTTAGCGTCTATAGTAAGCCCCAAAATTTTCATTTCAGTGCACAACGCAATGCTCTCCCCGCCCATTTTCAGAAGTGGTGAGTCATACTTAATCTTTTTTGTTATTACCATTGCCTTGGTCTTGTTTGGTGCAAATTTGAGTTTATTTCTGACTCCCCACTTCTGAACATGCGCGAGAGCCGCGTTGGCCCGATCCTGCACTTCAAATGCCTTGTCCCCGGAGAAAATCAGAACCACGTCGTCCGCGAAAGCCTGGCAATATTCTCCTTTCCCACTCAGTTCCTGTAATAGGGGGTCGATCAACAAATTCCAAAATATAGGACCCCCTATCGAGCCCTGCACGCATCCCTTTGCAGTGGTTTTAATGTATTCTGCTCCCGCGTACCTAATGCTAACGGTTCTATCCTCGAAATAGCTGTCCACGAGACGACGTAGGTTGATCGGGCAGCCAGTTTCTGCCAATCGGCATCTGATTGCCGGCCACCATGCGTTATCGAAGGCTCCCTCTATGTCCAAAGATATTAATAACACTAGTTTTTTATCATTGAGTTTAGTTTTTAGTAACTGCATCATGTCATAGAGGGAGTCCTCGGTACTACGCTGCGGCATAAACCCGTACTGTCTCTGGCTGATTGTGGGTACTATGTGCCATTTTATTCGTTGGACTAGCATTTTTTCGAAGATTTTCCCGAGCACAGGCAGCAGTCCTATAGGTCTGTAGGATTTGGGATGCGTGTAGTTCTCTTTCCCAGGCTTTCGCAGCACCACTACGACCGCCTCTTTCCATATTTTAGGAAAGTGTGCCAGATTGAGACATTTATTGACTATTGCCAAAAACATTGCCGGGTACAGAGAAATAGCCCTTGAACAAATATCGGCCGTGAGGCCGTCCCTCCCTGGTGCCTTTTTGGGGTTAAAACTAGACACAGACCACATCAACTCCTCTATCGTAAAAGGTGGGTCACATGAATCATCATGTGACCCTTCATTTACCGCTTTCGCCGCTTCTCTCATTTGTCTGTGTCCAATGTTGTCACCCCTGGTGTCATCTTCTGGGTAAAAAGTATCTGCCAGCACCTTAGCTGATTCCTGATTCCCCATGGTTATGCCATTTATGATTAAGGGAATGTCCTCATGCCTCTTGGTTGTACGGCCTATGACTCTATAAACCCCGTCCCACATTGACTCTCGCTCTTGCTTGCTGCAGAACTCCTTCCAACTGGAAGTTTGGGCCCTCTTGACTTCCAGCTGGTACTCCTCTTTAGCGCTGAGGTACTGCTCCACAACCCATTCACGACGAACTGGTGCTGCACATGATATTCGACGTTTTAGCCTGGAGACTTTCTTCTTAAACTGTGTTAACTCGTCGGTCCACCAGGGCAATCCTATTCGCTTCCTGTTCTTCAATTTGGACATATGTTTGTCTGCTACATCAGTGATTGTTTTTGTTACCTCTTCTATTTTTATTTCTAATTCTTCTCTTAATTCTATTTTGTCTATTTCTTTTTTGTTTAGTGTTTTACTGTTCCAAAGCTGGAGGAGTTTCTCACGAAACTCACTCCAGTTTGCCCTTTTTGTATTGTACTTCCTTGTTGTTCTACATACATCTGTTCCAATTGATTTTTCAAGATTTATATCGAACAGGATTGCTCTGTGGTCCGAAACAGTTATTTCTTCAGAAAGCCTCCAGTTTTCTACCCTCCCTAATAGGCTCGTCGAGCAGGTAGTTATGTCCACGCAACTAGAGAATCTTCTCCCACCTCTGACAATATCAAAGGTGGGATCCGATCCTCTATTGAGTATATGAAGCTCCAATTCGTCGAGTCTGGCGGCCAAGTCTGTTCCCCTTGTGTCCGTCTCCCGGCTACCCCACCAGGTGTTCCATGCGTTCACGTCTCCACCGAGTATCACGCTTCCAGTCCCTGAGGCTTCCACTGCCTTTTTGATCACGTCCAGGTATGGGTCGATTGGCTTATCACCCTCCAGATAGACAGACACCACTGCCATCTCCCAGGTCCCTGTCCTCAACTTGGCGACTGCGATATTTTCAGTTGTTAGGTCGGGACACTGGGTTACGTCAATGGTGTCGTCGAACAATACAATGGCAGCCTTGATAACCCTTCCAGTGTTGGGTTCTCTGTGACATTGTATTATTCGTGTCCCTGGGTAGTGCTTCATTTCTCCAATGCGACCGATGTAAGGTTCCTGGACCAACGCGAAAGATGTTTTTCTCCAGGTCGCCTCGGTGATCAATTCGGCAGTGGCTAACTCACATCTCTGCAAGTTGGCCTGGATAGCGTGATACCGGTGGCTGCCCGAATCGAAGTCTCCGGCAGACCTTGGGACCACCTTAGCAATAGGCTACGGGGTTAGGTTAGGTTAGGTTAGGTTAGGTTGCGTCCGTTGCGCATTGGAAATTGGAGGCCGAGGAGGAGGGCGCACCATGTGTTCTGGTGCGCCTTACCTGAGAAGGAGATGGGGGAGGAGTGTTCCTCTCCCGAGGAGGGGCCGCCATGGGGCGGCCAGCGCAGGTGGGGCCGCGGAAGTGTGCGAAGGCGTTCCCGTGGCCCTGCCAATATGCGACGAGTGTGGAACACCATGGGGTTTTAGTCGGTGCGAGTCCGACATAACCCGTCCTTGCCCCCGTGAGGCGGGTATGCGCAGGCATTTCCCCATGTAAAAAAAAAAAAAAAAAAAAAAGGTTAGGTTAGGTTAGGTTAGGTTAGGTTAGGTTAGGTTAGGTTAGGTTAGGTTAGGTTAGGTTAGGTTAGGTTAGGTTAGGTTAGGTTAGGTTAGGTTAGGTTAGGTTAGGTTAGGTTAGGTTTTTTTTTTTTTTTTTTTTTTTTTTTTAATTTAATTTAATCTACTACCTCCAACATTATCGGAGCCTATTTCAGCTGTTTCTCTTTCATACCAGTTCTCGCTTCTATGCTTCTCGTACTTTCATTCTACATACTAGTTCTTTCTTGCATCCATCGTCTTTCTTTCTACTAAGGGTGGGATTCCCTTCTATCTATTCTTTATTATCTAATCTAACTACATTCTTATTTCTATTCTTTCCTTCTTTTTCCACTGCTGGGCATTATTTCAGGGAAGTAAATGTACACAACCTAATCTATTTTATTATTGCTACTGCTTACTTGCTAACAATATTTAAATCTACTACAATATTATGCTTATATGTAATATACATCAATATATTAATACAGCATACTTTCTTAACTACTTTTATTTCTTACAATTACTTTTCTCGCTATTCTTACGCAATAATCTAGAAATACATTTCTTTGATCACTCTCCATGATATCCTTCACAGTTTCAGCCGTTATTCTGGTTTTCATCTTACTCTCAACTTCAAAACGTTCTATGCCAAAGACGGGGCATTCTAACACTATGTGAGGGATAGACTCGGGTATCGCAGGGTCGCAGATACACGATGGACTCTCCTTGCACTTAAAACGGTTTAAGTACTCGGAGAATCCACCGTGTCCTGTCATCACTTGTGTTTTGTGACTGTCTATTTTAATCTTACGGACAATTCTATATGCAGTTACTGCGTCCGGGAAAAACATTTTTGTAACTGCGGCCGTTTCACCTGTCTTATATCTATGATTCCATTCGTCAAGCGTTGCCTGGCGAATGCACCGCTTGACGAATGAAACCGGACAAAGGTCGTAATCCGGTTTCTTCTTGGAATTCTTGGCCGCTTCCTTCGCGAGTTGGTCTGCTCGCTCATTGCCTTCAAAACCTGCGTGAGCTTTTATCCAGAACAAGGTGACTACCTTGCCCTGGAGAGATATATCTTTAAGATTTTCTCTGGCCTCTACTGCGATTGGGTGAAGGCAACGGGGGTTCTTAATTGTAAGAAGGGCGGCCATAGAATCGCTATAGATCCCGAAGGTCAAGGCGTTGTGTGCGCGAATGACTCGAGTAGCTCGGCTTATTGCTAGTAGCTCAGCTTGGTAGACGGTACAGTATTCCGGCAGAGCAAGCTTGAGGGTTTTGGCCTCCACCCCGCCAGTCCATACAGATACTGCAGCGCCAACTTTGCCATCAATTTTGCTCCCGTCCGTGTAAATATGCATATCGCAAACAACTGCGTTTTTCACGTCGTCCTGATTTGCCAAGCTTACGATATTCAATTCGAGACATTCGGCCGGATGTGGAGTCTCAAGTGCTGATGCCATACGTTCGACCTCCCTCCTGGCCAGCACCGACTGGGGCAATCCCCTCTTGGCTTCGTACAATGAGGACGCCTCACGAACTCGGAGGTCTAGGGGGAGTATCCCGGCCAGCACCAGTGCCGAGTTCAGGGAGACCGTGCGGTAAGCCTTGCAGAGCTTTTGGGCGATGCCCCGTTGTACAGTCTGCAGCTGCTTGATGACCATTAGTTTTTCTGCAGCCGACCCCCATGCTCCAGCAGCGTACAAGATGACTGGCTCCACTGTCGCCGTGTAAATAATTTTGATCACCTCCGGGTGAAGGCCCCAACTGACCTTTGCCGCTCCGGAGAGTTTCTTGTATATATTTATGGCTTTCCTGCAAGCATTTGCGACGTGGGTGTTAAAGGTCAGTTTATCGTCGATGGTCATACCCAGCAATTTTATTTCCTTCGACATGCCAACTGCAACCCCTCCCATGCTCAGTCGTGGTGTGTCGTGTTTAAGCTTTCTGGTGATTATCATAGCGCATGTTTTGTGTGGTGCGAAGTTAAGCTTATTCTCGACACCCCACGACCGGACACGTTCGAGAGTATCATTGGCACGATCCTGGACTTCTTGAGCTGTTTTGCCATCGAACACCAGCACGACATCGTCAGCAAACGCCTGACAGTAATCACCTCTGTCCGCAAGTTTTTTCAGGAGGGGATCAAGAAGGATGTTCCACAGGATAGGTCCCCCTATGGATCCCTGGACACATCCTTTGGTAGTCGCTTTCTTATGGGTTAGGTTAGGTTAGGTTAGGTTAGGTTAGGTTAGGTTAGGTTAGGTTAGGTTAGGTTAGGTTAGGTTAGGTTAGGTTAGGTTAGGTTAGGTTAGGTTAGGTTAGGTTAGGTTAGGTTAGGTTAGGTTAGGTTTTTTTTTTTTTTTTTTTTTTTTTTTTTTTTTTTTTTTTTTTTTACTAGTTCCCCTGACATGTGTAACTCAGGGACCTTTTTCATCTTTTATTATCTATGTTCTTTCTTTTTTATTTTACATTCTTATTCTTTTTTGTGTTTTTTATGCTTTTTTATTTTTATTTCTGTTTTCTTTATTTCTTTTAAGGATACTTTTCTTTTCCTTTTTTCTTATCTAATTAATCCTAGGTACAATTTTATATATTCTATTGCTATTTCTTATTTCTACTTATTTTATATGGGCTGTTCACATTATATATTTGTATATATTATGTTACAGTTCCTTTTACTACATTGATTTATTCTTATTTACTACCTTATGCGTTATATTTTTACAGTAACTTAGAAATCTTTTTCTTACATGTTTATTTCTTATAATTCTATGTACATTCTCTTTGTTTATCTTAATTTCTATCTCTATTTCTAGGTCTATTCTCTCTTTGCAATATATAGGGCACTCTGTTATGAGGTGGACTATTGTTTCCTCTTTTTCTGGATCACAGGCACATGCCGGGCTCTCCTTACATTTAAAACGATATAAGTATTCGGAGAAGCCGCCATGTCCTGTCATCACTTGTACAAGCATTGGATCCATGACCATTTTCCTTACTATAGGGTATGCATTTATGGCGTTCGGGAAAAACACTTTTGTGGTGGAGGCTGTTTCTCCTTCCATATATCGTCGGTTCCATTCGTCAAGCGAATCCAGACGAATCTGACGCTTGACGAAAGAAACCGGACACTTTTCATAATGTGGCTTACTTTTTATTTTTAATGCTGCTTCTTTGGCTAGTTGATCTGCTCTCTCATTTCCCTCCAATCCTGCGTGAGCTTTTATCCAGAAAAGTTGGAGTGATTTACTTTGTTTGTGTATTATGCTTAGATTTTTTCTAATTTCTGCTGCTAGGGGATGGAGGGAAACGTTTTGGACGATTGTCTCGAGAGCAGATCTAGAGTCACTGTATATATTGCAGCTTTTTGCCGGGTCTTTGATCGCATGTCTAGTTGCTTCCAAGATGGCGAGCAACTCCGCCTGGAAGACGGTGCAGAAGTTTCCCAACTTTAATTTTCGGCTACTCGCCTCCGCTGCATCATTCCAGATGGATAGAGCAGCGCCGACTTTCCCCTCGATCTTACTTCCATCCGTATATATTTTAAGGCCCTTGTTGTCATGCTGTTCAACTTGTGCACCGTCCCCCAGACATATGAACTGCACGCCATATTGGTCCGCGGGGTGTGGCATCCTACAGTATTCTACCTTTACCTCCATTTCCCGATCTCCTACTACCCGCCGGGAATAGCCTTTCTTTGTTTCATAAAGCAAGGCTGCTTCCCGGACCCTCAGATCCAAGGGAAGCAGCCCGGCGAGTAGGAGTGCCGAGTGAAGGGATACAGTTCTATATGATTTAATGATTTTTTGTACGAACCCGCGTTGCACCATGTCGAATTGTTTTTTGATCATCTGTTTATTAGTTGCCGGTGCCCATGCGCTTGCTGCATATAAAATGATTGGCTCTACTACTGCCACGTATATGGTCCTAACAATCTCGGAGTTTAAGCCCCAATGAACCTTTGCGGCTCTACACAGCTGACGATAAAGGTTTTGCACCTTACAGCACACATTCTTTACATGCGTGTTAAAGGTCAACCCGTCGTCAACTGTGAGACCGAGTATTTTAATTTCTTTGGTCAGTCCAATGCTCTCCCCGCCCATCCTCAGAAGTGGTGAGTCGTATTTGATTTTGTTGGTTATAATCATTGCTTTTGTTTTTTGCGGAGCAAATTTAAGTTTATTCTTGATCCCCCACCTCTGAACAAGTGCTAGGGCTGCATTGGCCTGCTCTTGCACTTCCAAAGCCTTGTCTCCAGAGAAAATCAGGACCACATCGTCTGCGAAGGCCTGGCAGTATTCCCCTTTCGCGTTTAACTCTTGCAGTAGTGGGTCGAGCAAGAGATTCCAGAATATTGGGCCGCCTATCGATCCCTGCACGCACCCCTTCGTGGTCTTTTTTGCCCATTCAGCCCCTGAGTACTTGACGCACACTGATCTGTCGTGCAAGTAACTATCGATCAGTCGCCTCAAGTTTTTCGGGCATCCAGTCTCGGCGAGCCTACATCGAATTGCTGGCCACCAAGCGTTGTCGAAGGCTCCCTCTATGTCAAGCGATACAAGTACGATCAGTTTTTTATCTTTGATCTTATTTTTTATTAACTGTATCATGTCATAGAGGGAGTCCTCGGTGCTACGCTGTGGCATAAAACCATATTGGTTTTTACTTATTTTAGGCACGATGTACCACTTTACCCTTCGTATTATCATCTTTTCTACTATTTTTCCTAATACAGGTAGTAGCCCAATAGGTCTGTATGCTTTGGGGTGCGTGTAATCTTCCTTTCCGGGTTTCCGCAACACCACTACTGCCGCCTCCTTCCATTTCACGGGGAAATACGCAAGATCGAGACATTTGTTGGCTATTGCCAGGAACAATGTCGGATCCAATGCGATAGCTGCAGCACAGATATCGGCCGTGAGACCGTCATTTCCCGGCGCTTTTTTGGGATTGAAACTGGACGCGGCCCACAGTAATTCTTCCACCGTAAATGGTGGATCACTTGAGTCATCAAGTGACCCTTCATTGAGTGTTTCTGCTGTTTCCCTTATCAGTCTGTGTTCCGCGTCATCCTCTTGATCTTTATCCTCCGGGTAGAAGGTCTCCGCTAGGACTCTGGCTGATTCTATGTTTCCTAGAGTCTTCCCGTTCAGTACTAAGGGGATGTCCTCCTGTCTTTTAGTTGTGCGGCCAATTACTCTGTAAATGCCATCCCACATGGATTCTCGGTCTTGTTTACTGCAAAAATCCTTCCAGCTGGTGGTTTGTGCGTTTCTAACAAGCTGTTGGTATTCCTGTTTTGCTTGGATATACTGTTCGACGACCATATCTCGGCGAACTGGCGCTGCATACGAAATGCGACGCTTCAGCCTGGAGACTTCCTTTTTCCTTCGAGATAGCTCTTCGGTCCACCAGGGCAATCCCATCCGTGTTTTATTTTTGATTTGGGGCATACTGTTCTGACAGACTTCTACAATTGATTCTGTGAGTTCTCCTATTTTCTTTTCTAGATCTTCTTTAGTATATATTTTGTCCACCTGTATATTATTAATTTGTTTGTCTTGCCAAATTTGAGTGAGTTTCTCATGAAACTCTCTCCAATTTGCCTTTTTTGTATTAAATTTCCGTGTTGTTCTTTTAATATCTATGCTTATTGATTTTTCTAAATTTATATCGAACAGAATTGCCCTGTGGTCCGAACTGGTTACCTCTTCGGACAGTCTCCAGCTGTCCACCCTTCCAAGTAGGCTCGTCGAACATGTTGTTATATCCACGCAGCTGGAGAATCTTTTGCCACCTCTAATAGTATCGAAGGTGGGCTCTGTTCCTCTATTAATTATGTGGAATTCCATCTCATCGAGCTTGGCAGCTACCTCGATTCCCCTCTTGTCCGTTTTCCGACTACCCCACCAGGTATTCCAGGCGTTTACGTCCCCACCGAGTATCACGTTACCAGTACCTAAGCCTGCTACGGCCTTCCCAATCATATCCAGATATGGTTCGACCGGTTTGTTTCCCTCCAGGTAGACAGACACCACTCCCATCTCCCAGGCCCCTGTCCTCAGTTTAGCAACAGCGATGTTCTCTGTTGTCAGGTCAGGGCACTGGGTTAGGCCGATGGTGTCGTCGAATAGTACAATGGCCGCCTTTATCACTTTTTCAGTGTTTAATTTTCTGGTACATTGTACTATTCTTGTCCCTGGATGGTTCTTCACTTCTCCGGTTCTGCCTATATAGGGTTCTTGGATTAAGGCGAATGATATCTTATTTTTGGTGGCCTCAATAATTAGTTCGGCCGTAGCTAACTCGCTTCTTTGGAGGTTTGTCTGGATCGCGTGATATCGGTGGTTGCCTGGATTTGAGTTGCTGTTTAGCCTGGGGGCCACTTCAGCAATATGCTACAGTGGACCTTGCTAATGCTTCCCATTTTCTCCTTACGGGGCAGTCTGTACTGAAGGCATTGTGATCCTTTCTTTCTATTTTCGCCTTTAAGCAGTTCCTGCATGTCGGCGCTTCTCCCGAAAGCCAATCTGCACATTGCGCTTTAAGGTGTGGGCCTCCGCAGTGGCTACAGACCTCCGTCGTATCACCACATAAGCGCTTGCTATGTCCGTATCCGAGACACCTTGAACACTGTACAAGAGGGGACTGGTCTTCCACCCTCACTCGTTGGAGGTCCACATGTATTAACCCAACTTCCGTAAAGCGTTTCCACATCTGGGGAGATAGTCTAATCACGATATGGGACGTGTGCGGATTCCTCGATTTCTTTCTGTACTTAACTTCCATTTGAGCCTCTTTTTCATCCACATTCATAAAAAGCTGTTTGTTTTGTGTTCTGATGGCCTTAATTATTTCTTCGTCTGTGTTATACTGTAACACATCTTTAAGTATAACAAGCGGATCCTTGTTTTTTATATCGTCCACGTGTAAATTCTTGCTAGTGTTTCTTATTTTTTCCTTTACCCTATTTATTTCCTCCTGTGTGCAACATCCTACTATTACCTTTCTATCTCTTGCTTTTCTGATCTTATCTATCTTTAGTCCCTCTTCTTTAGCGTTTATTGCTGTTCTTATTCTATCCATAACTTGTTCTCCTGTCTCCTTCTCATCGGTTGAAGTTATGGCTACCGAGTGCATGGTCATATTTTGTGAAGGCTGTCTCCTTGGTGGTGCTGCCAGTATACTAGCATACGTACCTCTCTCCTCCCTATTTTCTTGGTTTTGTATTTCTTGTCTTAATTTTTCCATCTCTTTTTTATTTTCCTCCAAAAGTTTTCCGTGTTCTTCCAGCTTTTCCAGTAGCTTATTCTGTTCTTCCGACTTTCTATTATCATATACTTCTTCCAATTTGTCCTCCTTTTTCTCCTGCTCTTTAGTTTTTCTTTCTTTCCCTGTACTTTTGCCTGTTTCTGCCTCTTTGACTAGTTGGTAGAGTCGTTCTATTGACTGTGTAACCTCAGTTTTTATATCTGTCCTCAGGTTTCGTGAATTATTGAGGTGCAATTTGGCTTTGGTTAGGCAGGCTCTAGCTTCCGTCAGGCGATCTATGTATTTTACGGGCGATCTATGTATTTTACGGTCTCCATTTTAGGGGAACCTTCTGAAGGCTCTGCTAATACCCTACGGTTTACTCCTTTTGTTTCTTGAGGTGGTACGATTTTTTGTTTCTGGCGCGTCACCGGGACTGCCTTTTTAGGGGAACTCTGAGTTCCAACTACGTCTATTTTTGATGCTTCCCATTCTCCAATGCTTTTTCTCACATTTGAGCTTTGCGTCATTTGGTCGTTTTTTGAAGAGCACTCTGGCTCCGTCCCTTTTGGGGTGCGCTGGAGGCCCATGTCTTTAGGGCTATCCTCGGTTTTTTTGGAAGGAGTGCGGAAGCCAAACATGTTCAGGGGAACGCGTCTTTTTAGTCACGACAAATAAAATTACTTATAATAGAAAATTTTGTAGGGTTAAAATATATTTCAAGGTTTGTATAAGTTATAAATAAATTTTTTGCAATTCGACACGGCTATGGTGAGTTCGTACTTAATGTCGATTCGATTAAAGCCTACAAGCTCGCAAAATTGTATTAGTTCCTATGTAGAGTTTACTCTACTTGTCCGTCTATAGGACTCTATCTAGAGTCAGTCTAAAAACCTTATAGTATGTAACCAATTTGGTTACCTCAGTGTCCTTACTCTACTTAGAGTCGTCTATGTAAGCTAAACTTACTTTATAGTAACGAACAATAAAACACCACAGCAGGTCACGCTTAAAATCTAATTATTTAGTCTTATATATTAATAATTGAAGAATAAAGCAAGTTATATATTGTATAAAATTTTTGTTTCAACTCTATATAGAGTCTATCTACATAAAATGACAGAAAGATATAAACTTTCTAAAATATATTAATTAAGAAAAAACTTAAAAACTTACAAACTTACAAACTTACAAGCTAACAAGTTATTGGCTCTATGTAGAGCCTATTTCTAGAGACCAGCTGAAAGCGCTCTTCGAGCCCTTTTCAAAGAGCCCAAACTCGGTATACCTAACCCAATAGGTTCGAAAGTTACCTCGTTTTAAAATTCTGGTTTGAAAAACAAGATGGCTGCCAAATACGGTTTACACGCTGTAACTTCCGAACGAACAGGCCTACAGCACCGTGCTTGGGCTCGTCTTATTGGGCTCGACCAGGGCTATAATTATATGTGGTTTTCAGAGCTCAAAAATTTTGGGCGCTGAAATTCCCTGAAAGCTGAATTCTCTATTCCGGCACTACTTGCCGACGTCTAGGGTCCAAACCCCAGTCCTGTACGACTCGTAGTTTGGCAGCTATGGCCTATTTTAGATTTTCAAGATGGCTGCCGAAATGTCAAATTAGATGTTTGAATGCCAATAACTCTGCTTCCCGAAATCGCAGGAGACCAGCGCTTCGACCATACTACTACCCTTCACCAGATCTTTCTGGTAAGATCGATTTCAGGACCCTGAAAAACTAAAAGTCTTTGTAGGTGGGTTGAAATCGATCCAATAATAGTATAGTCCAAAACCGCAACTCACTACGACTTCTACAAGCAGAGCTATTAAGTTTTTAAAATTTCCAAAATGGCCGCCTGTCAAGAAATAAATTACTATCTTGGCCGTCCCTTAACCAAATTGACCCGTGTTTGGGCTCGTTTAAAAGGTCTCGGTGTCGAGCTTTCGTCTATATATATATTTTTAATTTTTAAGCCCCCTATAATTATATTTTCCACAATATGTTGTAATTTTTTACAAAAATATGAAATTTACAACTAAATTAAAATATTAAAATTCTACAAAAATTTAATTAAACTATTTTCAGTACCCTTTCCTTAAATATGTATTTATAATTTGCTACCACCTAATATAAGGGTAACACGTGTATACCAAATATATAAAAAATTTTATAACTAAAAAACTACTGACTAGAAAAATCTAAAAATTTTTATACACGTTCCTTAAGCTATTCTTAACAATATTTTAAATTAATAACTAGGGGTCTTCACTTTAGTTTTTAAGTAATTGATATGTCAATTTTCGTCAAAATTTAAAAGTTTTATAACTCATCAACCACTTAACTTATACTTGTTTTGAAAATTGCTCCCGGCTCCACTCCACGCGTGCTACCGGAATCCGCCTTCAAAAACAGCCGCACGCACTTGCTTCTCAAAACACGTGCCCACGTGGCACTTGTTTTTTTGCCTTTTTCTCGGAAACTATGGCTCCGAAAAATCTCAGTTTTTGAACATAGGTGGAAGCCGCGAATAGCTTGAAGGCCGCACTTTAAAAAATATAGGTAATAGCGCTTAATCAGGCAGCGTTTTACTTTGAACTTTTGAAAATTTTTGAAAATCACTATTTTCACTGTAACTTTTACACAAAAACTCCGATTTTCCTGTAAACTTCACTAATTTACGCCGCGAGTGAAGGCGCAACTTTTGGTACCTCACTCACCAAAATCGGTTGCGAAAAACCTATTTTTACGATTTTTAAAGCACGGAGCAACACAGAAACGTGGCGTTCGGGACGGCAGTTGACACCGGACTGGGTTAGGTTAGGTTAGGTTAGGTTAGGTTAGGTTAGGTTAGGTTAGGTTAGGTTAGGTTAGGTTAGGTTAGGTTAGGTTAGGTTAGGTTAGGTTAGGTTAGGTTAGGTTAGGTTAGGTTAGGTTAGGTTAGGTTAGGTTAGGTTAGGGCCCTGGTGGAGGAGACAGTATCCCGGGGTGGGGTGGTGCTGGCGGTGTCTTTAGACATCTCCAACGCCTTCAACACCCTACCCTGGAGTTGTATTCGGGAGGCACTGAATTACCATCGCGTGCCTCCCTACCTCCGCCGCATAATAGGGGCTTACCTTGAGGAGAGATGCGTTACCTATTGGGGACGTGACGGCGCTGGTCGGCGCGTCATGTCGTGCGGTGTTCCGCAGGGATCGGTCTTGGGACCGCTCCTGTGGAACATCGGCTACGACTGGGTGCTGAGAGGTGAACTCCCGTCGGGCGCCGACTTGACGTGTTATGCGGATGACACGCTCGTCACTGCCCGGGGGAGTTCGCACAGGGAAGCAGCGTTGGTTGCCACGGCTGCGGTGTCACAAGTGGTGAACCGCATCCGGCGCCTGGGCCTGGAGGTGGCCCTAAGTAAGTCGGAGGCCATGGTGTTCCATGGCCCTCGACGCGCGCCGCCGCCGGGTTCACACATCGTGGTCAGCGGGGCCCGGATAGCTGTCGAGTCCACCATGAAGTATCTGGGATTGGTGCTCGACAGCCGATGGGAATTCGGACCCCACTTCCGGCGGCTAGCGCCCAAGCTGATGGGTGCAGCGGGCGCGCTATCAACGTTGCTTCCCAACTTGGGGGGCCCGAGCGCCGCCTGTAGGCGGTTGTACGTGGGAATCGTGCGGTCCATGGCCCTGTATGGGGCCCCTGTGTGGGCGATGGACATGACGGCCAGCACTCTCGCCATTCTGCGTAAACCGCAGAGGGCGATGGCCGTCAGAGTCGTCCGCGGGTATCGCACGATTTCCTACGAGGCGGCTTGCGTCCTGGCCGGATCCCCGCCCTGGGACCTAGAGGCGAAAGTACTCG